TCGAAAAACAGTTGAATTTGTTATGAGGTTAAGGTCACGCAAATTGATTGACTTGCAAAATAGAGATTAAGTGTATATGTAGTTTGACAAGTGTGTAAAGAACAACAATAAATGCCGAAAACTTTTCCATGGCACTAGAAAATCACCCTACAACTTATTCTCTCCTCCAAGATCTTATAGTATCAAAAAATCTCACATAACACCCAAGTAATATCCCTTCTCCACAAACCTACCCCTAATTCCTCCCAAAATATCTCTTTGGATCCCTCCCCCACATCTCCATAGATCCCTTCTCACCATGATGGATTTCTTCCCGAAGTCATGAGAGTTCATAAAACCAATATTTTGGGGGCAATCAATCACTTCCACTAACCCTGCTATATGGTGAGATCATGTAAAGCCACTTTCACCTCATTAATTCCTGAGAAGATTGGGGTAAGTCTTGTTGGCAATGCCAATAAAATAGTGGCCAAACTTTTAACAAAAAGGTTGAAGAAGGTACCTGGGAAACTAGTTTCCAGACACCAAATGCATTTATCAAGGGAAGACAATAACTAGTGCATCCTTAATTGCTAGTGAGGTCATGAATTGAAGGATTAAATCAAGAGTCCCTGGATTCATGTGCAAACTTGATTAAGAAAAGTCTTTTGACAAGTTAAATCGATTCTCTATTATGAAAAAAATGATCTTTGACACCAAATGGATCAGATATTGTATCTCCATACTCAAATACTCAATCTTTATAAACAAAGGACCAATGTGGGTTTTCTCTCCATAGAAATGAATCAAACAAGGAGAGCCTCTCTCCCATTTATGTTCATTTTGGCTATGGAAGGACTATGCAAGATGTTGGAAAAGGCTAGACAGTTGCAATGGATACATGGATTTAGTATGGGTTCAAACTCAGGAAACACTCTGATCATTTCTCACTTACTATATGTTGATGATGCTCTAATTCTTTGTGATGCAAACAAGTTCAAGTCCTCTAACCCAAATCTTACACTGATGTTTTTTGAAAAATCGTCAGGTTTACATATCAACATGTTGAAGAGTATAATTTATCCCTGTTACTGATGTAAATAACACAGAAGAGCTTGAAGAAATTTTGTGGTGCAGCATTGGTTCACTTTCTAGCACTCATTTAGGCATCCCCTTGGGTGCCAAATTGAAGTTTGTGATATATGGAATGAGGTGGTGGAGAATTTGAGAAAAGATTATTTACTTGGAAATTTCAATATCTCTTTGGGTGGAAGACTCACACTTATCAAGAGTATTCTAGATAGTATACCAACCTATTTATGTCCCTGCTTCCCATCCTAGAGAAGGTGCGAGGATCATGAGAAATTTCCTATGGGAAGGCAATAGCAGTACTCAAAAGTTCCACTTGATAAAATGGGACAAAGTTTTGCTTCCAAAATGCAATGGGGGCATTGGGGTTAAGATCTGGAAATTCATAACAAATCCTTACTTATGAAATGGCATTAGAGATCTAGCTCTGGTGATGGTAGTCTCATAAGGATGTGATCATTGCTACACACGGTAGAAAGAACAACTGGAGCTCAAACACCGTAAATTTGCCTTATGGAGTTGGGCCTTGGAAATATAGACTCTAAATTCTCTCATGGAATTCCCTTGTAACCTGGGGATGGTGTGTATAACAAGTTCTAGAATGATTGATAGTGAAATAATACAACTCTCAAGGAGGAATATCCCAATATCTTCAACATTGTTATGGATAAAGACTCTTCAATTCCTCAAAACAGGACCAACAACATTTGGGATGTGCATTTGAAAAGGTTTTTGTAGGACTAGGAACTTGGGAATTTGATGGAAATGTTAGCAATGGTGGAAGCTCACAGTTTTGATGAAAATAAACTAGGTAAGCTAAGGTGGGGAAACAAAGGTATATTCACAATGAATGAATACTATACACAAGTATGCTAACAAAGTCAAGTAAGTGATAAATAGCCATGGAAGCTAGTATGGAAGACCAATCTACCTATGAAGATTAAATGCTTCAGCTGGATCACACTAAACAATGTTTGTCTTACTCTAGACAACCTGAATAGGAAAACATTGCAGTTGGTCAACATATGTTGTTTTTGCAAGACAATTCAGGAGAGAGTCAATCATCTCTTCATTCACTGCGCATTAGCATATGATCTTTGAAATTAATGAAACTCTTACCGAAACCATTTCCCTTCGGCACATTATCACTAGCCGGAACTATTTCCCATCGCCTTTATATCAAATCACTAGCCAGAACCATTTCCCTTTGGCTTTCTATCGAATCATTAGCTGGAACCATTTTCCTTCGGCTTTATATCAAATCACTAGCCGGAACCATTTCCGCTTTATATCAAATTACTAGCCGGAACAATTTCCCTTCTGACTTATATCACATGTCTCATCATGGTGTTCAACAATCAACACAAATAAGCAATGTCACACCATAAAAAAAAAAAAGACATCAATTCAGACAATTCAAGTCCACATTTGAGCCATCAAAGCACTTCATCAATCAATCAAAAAGGGGTCACAACAAGGCAATTCATAAGCATTATGATCAACAAGTCGCCTTTTCTTTAATCCCTTTTTTATTCATTAAGATTAAGCAAGTGCAACAATGAGCCCTTCCTCAATCCCATTACTCCCCAACACACAATGAAAGAAAATAGATGATTCTACTAGGTTACAAAGTTTAAGAGACCACTTGCCTTAATCCAAAGCTTGAGCCTTCTCCTTTCGAATGATATCCAATGCCCCACAATCTAGTTCAATCAAGTAGTCACAATAAGATTCTGGAATTAACACTACCCAACTCAAGCAATTTAGACAAAAAGGTCAATAAACTCAAAAACCCAATTCTGAAATTGAGGTTTAAATGCGGAAATCTTTAATTAAAAACATTACTCAAGGCATTGAGAACTCATTGGTGAAAATCATTTCGAAAAAGGATTTGAAATTAGTTCACAAACCCAATTTTACTTCAACAACTCAAATTCACGAAAACCCCCAATTTATCCATCCAAAATCTCAATTTGAACACATAAATCCAATATTAATAATGGGTAATTGAAGATTTAATGTCAAGAAATGTTACCCAACTATTTTATCTTGAAAAAGTCACTTGAAATCGCCTCCACCAAGTTCTCACAACTCCAATGGAAAATGGGGAAGAAACCTCGAATTTGGATCAAAACACTGCCAAGGGTCCTCCGCAAACGCGCAACCCTGTTCGCAAATGCAGCTAGACAGCTTATAACTGAGCCCACGAACGCGCCCTACACTCCGCGAACGCGGAGGTCAAAGCTTTGACCTCCCACAAATGCGGTCACCCCTCCGCGATCGTTGGCTTCAACAACCCAGAACATAAAAATCAACCAACTCAAAAATCATTGAAAGGACCCTCGAAATTCGTTTGGAACCCCGTACACACAAATCATAGATGCAGATTGACTAAACTCGACGTTCTAGACACAATGGAACCATCAAAACACGAATTTGCGGTCTCCTCAACCCGGAACACGTGAAAGTCACAAGGAATGAACATAACGCTTAAAAAGGCCAATAAAGCTCGGGACCTCTAAAAATTCAACTGAGACCTCACCTATGCCTAAAAGCGTCCCCCGAATGTAATGGAACTCTCAGAATTCGAATCCGAGCATTCGAACCCGAATGTTGACCAAAGTCAAACCAAAGGCTAAAATCTCAACAAATTTCCAACTTAGGACCTCAAATCCTCAAAACGACTCCCAATCTGAAATCAACATTTCCCGTAGACCAATTTTTGCTTTCTGGAACTAATGGAATCGACGGAATTCCATTCCGACACTCAAAACTCCAAGACTCCGAAAACCAATTTTAAGCAACTTAGCCTTTTGAAATCACAAACTTACTCAAATTCTCAACTTTTTACTCGAAGTTCGAAACAAACTTTTAAAACTCAAATGTAAGAGACTCGGGGTCAAGATTGGGAGGGAAGAATAGTAATTTCATGAAAATATCCAAAAAAAAAAATGATCAACCAGGTCAGTACAACACCTCATGTGGAGAATACGTTAGCAAATAAACACTTGTGCCTTTGATGTGAAATATATGGAGATAGAAGTGGACTCCTATTTTTTGGATAATCAGTGTGAAGAAGCTGCAGTTGATATGGAAGCTTAAATAGGTCTCATAAAGAGAAGTATTTAGACCTACATAGTTTGCAGTTTCAAGGGCACCTCCTGCTTGGCATTAACAATCTCATTATTAACAAAAGAAGGGATAAGACACTAGTACCCCTAGACTATGACCGAAATCCCAGAGACACAACTTAACTAAACTAAGGTTCTATTACCCCCCTAAATTTATTTTTTTTGTAATTTTGTACACCTTATTGGCCTACGTGGCCTCCAAACATCTCCCACGCGCCTCACTTAAGTGGAGTAACGGAGTGTACCACGTAAGCCAAAAGGTGTATAAAATTACACAAAAAATGAGTTTAGGGGGTAATAGGACCTTAGATTAGTTAAGGTGTGTCTCTGAAATTTCGGTCATAGTCTAGGGGGTACTTATGCCTTATCCCAAGAAAATACATAAAACATTTAGCCTTAAACAAGATAGGGTGTAAGAACTGACTAACAAAGCTTTCAAAGAATACAATCATATTAGGATAAATTTGCATTTCTAACAGACCATATCGTCTAAATTTCCATAAAGTATATGGATTGCTAATGTTCTAAGTAGGCATTTGGACATGCGATTTCATATCGCTATATGAAATCATTAGATGAAATTAGCATTTGGACATGCGATAAATATGCTTAAAGTCTGATGCAATATGTCATACTGTGTAGCTAAGAATAACTCCATATTTTGAATGTCTGATGCAGAAAGTGAATACCATTATCTTCAAGCTCAGAATAAACAAAAACTTGGTGGGAGTAACACATTAGTGTTCCATCAATGATTTTCCTTAATTCTTGCTTCATAAAGTTCCAGATTAACCCGGAAGCACTAGAATTAGCTAGTGTCTAGCGCATACGCCAAAGCTGCATATCAGCGCAAGCTGTTGATCAAGAAGCAACTGGTGTTCCAAATCAAATCAGATCTTGGTTATAAGAGGGATGTAGGAATGTGAGTCTCTTAGGAAGATTAAAATTAGCAAGAAGGTACATGCTAATGTGAATACAAATCAAACAAACATTCCAAAATTGAGTATATCTCTTCCATTCTAGGGTGAGATTTGTCTACCGAATAAAACTGATGAACTTGGCTATCTAGCTCAATCCAACTGCAACCGGGTGCTTTATAAGCATTCTGCTGATTTAGGATCTTCCTTACCTTTCGAGCTTCATCCCACTTTCCCAACTCCCCATATAAATTAGCAAGCATAGAGTAATAACTACCATTGTTGGGATCAATACTAATCAATTTTTCCAGTGCATATTCTGCCAAGTCTAGACGCCCATGGATTTTGCACCCATTAAGCAAGGAACCCCATATAACTGCATCTGGTGTTATGTGCATCTCGCTCATGATTTTCATAGTTTCCTCAAACCTACCTGCTCGTCCGAGAAGATCAATTAAACACCCATAGTGCTCAATTTCAGGGTTAATTCCATATACCCGTGTCATCAAATCATAATAACTAAGCCCCTCTTCCACCAATCCTCCATGAGTACAGGCACTTAACAAGCCAATAAAAGTCACTGTATCAGGTTTTACATCATCTCCATATCGCAACATATCTTTGAAAACTCCAATAGCACCTTCCCAATGACCTTGAAGAGCCAAACAATTGATCATAGAATTCCAACATGTCAAACTGCCCCTATTAGCCTTATCAAAAAGATTTCTTGCCTCTTTCAAGCTACCACATTTTCCATACATATCAATGAGAGCATTTACAGTAAGAGAATTCAAATGAAGATTATTTCGATAGATGTACCCATGAATACATTTCCCGAGCTGAAGCATCCCAGTGTGCCCGCAAGCACCAAGTACACATGCAAATGTAACCTCATTAGGCTTATTCCCTTGAATCATCCCTTCCTCAACAATCATTCTTCGTAACAGTGAAATGGCCTCACTAAACAAACCATTTTGTGTACATCCTGCAATTATTGAATTCCAAGAAGGAGTATCTCTTATATGCTGAGGTACCTCTTCAAAAAGCAAAATAGCATCCCCCATTCGCCCCACTCTAGTATATCCCGCTATCATCGCAGTCCATGAAAACACATTCTTCTCAGAAATTTCATCAAACAGCTGGCGTGCAACTCTAATATCAGACGAAAACCTCGAATAAGCATCCAAAAGAGCTGTCTGCACAACAGGGTATTTCCCAAAACCCATCTTCTCAATATGGGTATGCGCCATTTCAACCCCATAAGGCTTTGTAACTTCAGGGAAAGACTTCAGAATAATTGGGAATACAAATTGGTTGGGCTTTGACAAGCCACTACAAACCATTTCACGGTATAACAAGAGAGAAGATTTATGATTAGGAAGGGAAGTGTATGCAGTGATCATCGCAGTATAAAGGTAAACATTGGGGACAGTGATGTAATTGAAGATTAAGCGACCATAACTGAGGTTGGAGAGAGAGATGGTGCAGAAACGAACAAGCTTGAATGCATAAAGCTGAGTTTGTCCATGGCCAATGGTGATGAGATGGCCTTGAAGTTGCTTGAGTTGAGTAAGACTCCTGCATTTTTCTAGAATAACTAGGATGTCTTGATGTAAATTTGGTCCGACCAACATTTCCTTGTTAACAATACATTCAAAATTGGAGGTATAAATACACCATCCACATAAGCCTCTTAATTTTTAAATTAACACTCGAATAATTAATAACCTTTTTAAGATAATATTTTTTTCCGATTCTGACTTGTGTCAATGGAAAAAATCACTCATTTTGATAAGATAATAAGATAATAAATTTTTTGAAGACCCCTATAGAAATATATGGTCTCATTAATATTATAAATTAATAATTCGTTAAAAACACAAATATATCTGAGACAATTTAGTGAAACATTATTCTATTGTGTTCTATTTTTGTTAAAATTCTAATCTTGTTGGAGCTCATCTCTAACTTTTCTTATTGCATCCAAAGGTTTCGATGTTGTATTTTTAAACTGCACCATTAAATTGTGAAGAGTTATAAATGTAATAAGTGTTTTCTGACAGTAACTTGTTCCAAAGTTATTGTATCATCTTCTACTTTATCATCAACATTATTTTTTTCAATGGTATCCACAATTTCTTCTAAGTCCTATACCTATGAATATTAATCATTTTCACTCATCCAACGGGTTATTAACGTCCATTTTATTGCGGTAACCGAGATCATTAATCATGAGTTCAAGTTCATGAATGACGTTTTTACAAGTGGATTCATTTAAATTCTCTGAGATTTCATCCCCAAAAGAATTTTGCGGTGTTGAAACACTCTTTTAAATTAATAAATATTAATTTCTTGATTAAATAATATCTCTATAAAATAATAATATTTCATGTCCCACCTATATTAATTTATGGAAAAAGGGTCTGATATACCCCTCAACTCTGTCATTTGGAGCTGATAGGCCCCTCGTTATGAAAGTTACTCATATATACCCTTACTGTTATACAAACTACTCACATATACCTCTACCGTTACAAAATGAGCTCACATATACCCTTCATTTAACGGAAGTGAAAAAAATAGTTTTAAATTTATATTTTTGACTTTTGATTTTTTTTTAAAAATCATGTAGGGGTATATATGATTTTTCTAGCAAATTTCAAGGTATGTTATAATTTTTTCGGATATAAATTATTTTTTGACTTCTTGATTATCATTATTTGAGTTTCTTATTCTTTTTTTATTTTTTTCTTCATTCCTTAGTGTAAAGAAAAAAAATTTAAACTATTTTTTTGTTGTTGTATTATAATTTAAAACTATTATTTCGGATATATTGTAATTTAGTTTTTGTATTTGAAGAAAAAAATTGGGTCATCTATAATAAATTTTACAAGAATATTAGCGAAACTTAAATAAATTTGACCATCAAAATAATAAATCTAAATTAGTCATTGAAACAAAAAAAAGTTAAAAAAATAATATTTGTTTGAAGAGGATTAAATATACATACCCATATGGGATTATATTTTTTTTAAATAATTAAAAAATTAAACTTAAATTAATTTTTTCACTTCCGTTAGAGGAAAAGGGTATATGTGAGCAATTTGTATAACATTAGGGGTATATATGAGCCACTTTCATAACGAGGGGTATATCAGCTCTAAATGACAAAGTTAAGAGGTATATCAAATCCTTTTCCCTTAATTTATTGAGGTTTTACTATATATATAAATCTAATATGAATATTGTATATCAGATAAACTTAGTTCTAATAATTCAATTTCTGTAATTTCTTCTTCGATAACATGTATTTTAGTACAATTACACTCTTCTCCTTTATTACATTTTAATGTATTTGTATTAGATTTATCAGTATGTTGGAACTGGTTCTGTTGTTATTGAGGTTATATATATATATATATATATATATATATATATATATAAATCTAATATGAGTATTGTATCATATCATGTGATCAGGACTAATAAGTTTATATACAGTTCAAATGTCTATATACAGTTTACTAATAAGTTCAAGATATGTCCATATATTAAGCCAAAATATTTGATTCAAAATATTGGTCAAACACATGATTATAAGTTGATTTAATTGTTCAAATACCGAATATAAGATTATAAGATTGTGATGGATAAGACACATATATAGTGTACATATTATGAGAGAGATAATTCCTCAATGAAGATATCTTAGATTGACATAATAAATAAACGTATTCTTTAACTTTGTCTTAGCTGACATTTATGTCCTTCAACTTTGACTGTACATAAGTAGATACTTAAAATTCCATAAAGTTGAATGAGTAGACACGCGTTTTACATGACAATTCACATGAGATAGACTCGAAGTGATTTGTATTATGCAATTAGGATGCATGTGTCTACTTATTCAATTTTATACAAGTGTCTATTTGGGCACACCTAAAGTTTGAGGATATAAATATTAGCTAAGACCAAATTAAAAGGCATGTTAATATATTATGTCATTTAAATTTGTATAACTTGCCATTCCAGTTATGTACGTACGTCTATTATCTGCAATAGAAAAATAATGTTGTCGAGTTACAATACTTATGAAGGGGAAATTATCCTTCCAGTTAAGTTATGTATCACTCATGCCATTAGCCTAATTGGCCTTCATGTACAAATCATACAATATCAGATCAACATGTAAATTACTCACAATGTGAGGTATTTGAATTGAAAAAGGGAAAGGGGAAAAAAATAGACAAACAGAAACAGAGAAATTCTGAGCCTGGGGGCACAAAGCACTATAAGCTCAAATTAAATTACATCAACAACATGATAGGACTGAGAATCGTAAATAGAGAATTGCTCATCTGACTTACGGCCACAGTTGTTCTTAATAGCCGTTAGCCCATCTGGAAAAACATCAGCACCAAGCCAATTCTCGACGGTAAACAACTGCTGGTTGCATCGTTTGTGCTCTGCTGTAGAAGTAACTTCAACGTAATTACAATACCATCCAGGGTGTTGCCCTGTACCATCAGAAGTCAAGTTCATTTTACAGATTGGACCATTCAAACATGGACCACGACCAGTAAACATATCCAAATTGTCCCTTTCAAAGTAGTCGTGACCTTCTCCCATAAGCCCACCCCACGCTTGTAGGTTTTTGATTCTAAGTCCATATCCATCCGCATCGTAAAGAGTTAAGATAATTTTTGAGTCAGTTCCAGACGCAAAGAATTGCCCAGTTCGAACGTAAACTGAGTATACACAATTTAATTCCTGCATTAATTTCCCGTCATTCAACAATTGCACCAAAATAATAACACAACGCTATTTTGGTATTGTAAGTAAGAATTTTGGATTATGAATGTATACATGACGTTAGAATTAGGCGTAATTCACCAATAGTGTAGAAGTTGACTTACAGAGCTAGAAATCAAAGAAATGGAGACGGAGAAGACGATGATCGTGAGATGGAACCACATTTGATTAGCCTGTGCTACTCCCATGGCTACTTGAACTCAAGGGAAATGCTTTTGAGATATATATGAGTGATAGTTTATTTATACTGTATATATTAAAGTTCATAAGGGTGATATGGTATTTTATTGAGAATTGTAGGGTCAAAAAAATTATATGGCAATACCCGTGAATTCATTCACACTATAAATAATTAAAAAGTCTAGTGGAAGAATAAATTTTAAGAAAAATACTATAACTAGTGGCGGCTAACTCGACTTGCAAGGTAAAGTTTTTGGTCATTCCATTACAATATGCGCACTTTCGTCTTTATCGTAAAATGATTATCGCATGCACTATATATTATATCAGATCTATTCAGAAGCCGCCATGAGAGAGAAATATGCATGCACCATTTTGTTGATTAAAAGGCATTATGTGCTACAAAGTAAAACCAAAACAAAAAAAACTATGCTATATTTACAAAGATATATTAGTAAATGAACATAACTACGTGCTGATTGCAAATAAAATATTTGACCTTTAGCGGAAGAAAGAATTCAAATACATCATGATTGACACTACTTGCCATTTATATACCCACCAAGATGTTACTTTTTCTAAAATATAATTTCAACGATATAAAACGTAAAGTTTATAAATTTTGAACACTTGATTGACTTTTGTTCTTTGGCTATTTACTAAAAATGTACATGGTCATATCAATAATATTATAATTTAAAAATACACATCTAAGGTATGGTAGATTAGGTATTTTGTAATTGCTTCCATCTGAATTTGCCCAAAGTACAATGTCAAAATTTTCATATTTTCTATTTTTAAACTTAACAACAAAATATATATATATATATATATATATATATATATATATATATATATATATATATATATATACACACCATTTGATAAAATTTTGATATTTGTTTTATATAATAAAGAACTTATCCTAATATGATTATAAATATACATTAAAACCCTGCAATTTTAGTTTTAAAAATTAATAATTGATTGGGTTAGGTTCGATTTCGTCTGTTTTAAGAATTGTTTTGACACTCCTGATCCCTACTATAACCACATTATTAGCATTGATGTGCGTTCTTTGTCACGATTGATATTAATTCAATTTCGCTTTTATTGAAAATATAATTAAGTGAACAAAGTTTTTTGTTTTTGAAAGTTTGATGATGATAATTGAGATGGTTTTCAATATGAGATTAGAGTAAATAAAGGTATTGAATTTGAGTCTCATTTTCATTTATTATTAAGAATATTTTCATGTATTGGACATACCAAAAAAAATCGGCCCAACGTATATGGGAGGACATTCTCAACATATAATTAAAAATATAAAATTAAAGAGTGATTTTAATAGTTTAAGTTAAATGATATGATTATACTAGTTACATATATACAATTATCTCATAGATATACAATATACAATTCGCCTCTTTCATCTTTCTGTTCTCTCTCTTCCAATCTCGCTTGTCTCTCTTCTTCCTCTCCCAATCTCGCTCGCCTCTCTCCTCATTATAACATATGTAGGTACAAATTGTAATTAAGTAAACTATAGTTAAGAAGCCTTATTGTGTTTCAGTCTAAGCTATTTTTGAAATTTCCTCTTTAAAAAATATGAGTGATTCATTTAATTAAAAGAAGTTCCGGACTAAGCCGAGAGGCAAGTGCTTGTTTTACCTATTCTAAATTTAAATTTTATCGGTTTAACTTTTTTAAAAAATTTCTAACTAAATGTATTATCTTTTAAGGCTATTATTATATTTTTTTAAAAACTTTTATACAAGAAATTATGTTGGGGAGAAAATATTAATTCAGATATGAGATATGAAGTCAATAATAGAGCAATATAATAGTTGGATCCACCAACATCCCGAAATCATGTATACAACTTGCAGAATGGTGGAGGAGGTAGCCGCCATGAGTCATGAGTCATACTTTTCTTAATTTATTTTCATCCAATTTGCAGTTCAAGCTAATAGCCGCCATGAAGCACACTTCTTACTTTATTCATCCACTTAATTCAAATACCATATAATATAATAATATTCTCCCCTCTAAACAACATTGATCCATTAATATAAATAAACTATATGTATATCATACAATCACTCCTACTATCTCCACATCATATTTTCCTTTATCCTCTCACTTAATTATCAGTTCTAGAGAAAGAAACAACTAGTAACTATAGACAGAAGGAGAGCAAAAGAACCTGCCATGGGAGTAGCTCAAGTTAACCAAATGTGGTTCCATCTCATGATCATCCTCTTCTCCTTCTCCATCTCCATTTCTTCTATTTCTGGAGCTGTAAGTCACCCAACTCTATTTCTAAATCGCATAATATCTCTATTTCTAAATGGCATAATAGAAAATAAACATGCACTTTTAACATGATTTCAGTTGGTATCTATGGTCTTCAATATATATTGGATGTGCACAGTAGACACTTAAAATTGTAAAAAATTGAACATGTAGACATATGCATGCGTCCTATGTGATGATGCGTTATATGACAAATTTGCATCCTACATATCGTCCTATATGTATTATGTCACATAATTTAAGATGTATGTGTCTAGCTAATTCAATTTTATATAAATTTGAGTGTTTACTTGTACACACATCTAAAGTTGGTGAACATAAATGTCATGACAACTGAGGGCAAGTTAAAAAATATATTTATGTATTTATGCTCTTTTAAATTCACCATCTCTAGCGAATTCTCACCTCATGTACATGCATAACATGCTAATTCTACATTATATTATATATTCCCCTCATGTCCCAATATATAAATATATATTATATTATGTAGTTTGATTGAGTACAAGTTTATGAAATAGGAAATTGTTTACAATGTTTCAAAACTATTTTTATAAAGAATACATTTTATATACCTTTTGTCCAGTGGAACCCACCAACATCGATAAAGTATTTATAGTGTCTTAAAAAGAAAAATGTCATATAAATTATAACTATATATTTTTCATTTTGCACTTGCTAATTTGGTAGGACGTTGATGAATACAGGAATCAAATTGTATATACACAGCTTATGTCCGTACTGGACCATTCGTGGAGGATGCAACTGACTCAAAAATTACCTTAACTCTGTATGATTCGAGTGGATCTGGAATTAGAATCAACAATCTTGTAGCTTGGGGTGGGCTTATGGGGAATGGTTACAACTACTTTGAAAGGGATAGCATGGATATGTTCAGTGGTAAAGGCCCATGCTTGTCTGGCCCTATCTGCAAAATGGTGTTAACTTCAGATGGTACAGGAAGAAATCATGAATGGTACTGTAACTACGTCGAAGTCACCTCAACAGCAGACCACAAACAATGTAGCCAGCAATTGTTCAATGTGGATCAATGGCTTAGCACCAATCGTTCACCGTATCAGCTCTCCGCCACCAGGAACAACTGTAGGCGTTTGTCCGATGAGCAACAGTTGCTTTACCTTTCTGAGTCAAATAATGTTGTTGATGTGTAATTGTGCCAATCTTTCAGATTTCAATATTCAATAAGTCTATTTTTATCATAGTTTTGCATATATCTTTTAAATATTTTGAATTGTCAATTATTGTGATTTATAATAATTTTTACGTGGTTTAAAAACATATAAATTTCGTTTCAAAGAATTTGAAGATTTCATGTGCAAATTTCCTATCAAACCTAAACTGTTTGACTTTCGAAAAATGAAAAATAATGCCACGTAAATTGAGTAGATTTTAAATGAAAAGTGCAAAATAAATTTTATTTATTTTTTTCAAAAATTTTGAATATTTCATGTGCAAATGTCCTATCAAACCTAAACTGTTTGACTTTCAAAAAATGAAAAATACCACATAAATTAGGACAGACTGAATACATTTTAAACGAAAAATGTCACATAATATTTTTTTTCCAACTCCTTGCAAGTCTATTCATATTCCAAATTATCGTTCCAATAACATGAAAATGGGTGATTTATATTTCAAATTATGATTACTTTAAATAACATGTAAATGAGTGATTTCAAATATATATCGATATTATACCTTCAATGTATCAGTTTTCCAGCATACACGTAAACATTTGTGCATTTACGCCTACGCATAATCTTCACAGCATAGATAGTATCTATCTTTTTTCCCCTTCTTAATTCATTTTTTTTTCTTTTCTTCTTCATATATATATTTATTTTTTTTAATTGTGGCTTCCTCAATTTTTGCTACTCTTCTGTTGGACTTTTCATATAGTATTGCACTAGTGATGCCCTGTTGAGCACGAGCCCAACATTTTGCATTCTTATTAGCTGGGAAAGCAAGAAGCATAACAGGAAAAGTTAGATTAGTTAGTATTTCACAAAAAGCTTGTAGTATTAAACATAAATAGTGTTTAAGAGGTTCAAAAGCTTCTTCAATCATAATAGGTTACAAGCTCAATAGTTTCTTATAAAGAAAAGCGTTGGTACAACTTGACATTGTTGTCTCAGAAGTATCCCAACATTTTGACCTAATCGGACCATTTTCAAGCGGAAGCCTCCAAACCCAAACCGATCATCACACTAGACAAAAATGACCCTTCAACAGCTTCGGCAGAATATTCTGATTCGGCTTTAGCTGCTTCGCCTGTATCTTCATATTATTCAAATGATCCTGAAGCGAACCTTTCCTTTGTGTTTTTTGTAACTCGCCTTTACTTCGCTTCATTTTTTTTGTGTTTGTAGCAAAGGTAGTTAGTTTATCGAAATCAAAGTAAATTAGATAATAATGACCTTTTCTTTGGTGATAGTGTAGAAATCTCACGTCTAGGATTAGAGAAATCAAGGATTGTATTGATGAAAATAATGTTGAGTTACAACCTCCTTATATAGGGAGAGAATTGTAGAGTCCTAAGTTAACTATACTTAGAGTCCTACTACAATACCTAATAATAATGCAATTATAAATAATCTAATCCTAGTCGTAATATAACCCTAATCATGATATAATTCTAGTCGTAATATAATCCTAATTAATATATGTAGTCTAATCCTAGTGTGACTCTAATTCTATATCAGTGCTGTAAACTCGTCAGTCAGCTTCGTTGGACCTGTTCCTTTGACATGTTCCAATCGTCAGCTTCCTTTTTCTTCAACACTTCCCCTCAAGCTAGTTGTAACATCTCGCACCTAGAAACGACTATAAAGAGTTTAAAATATGAAAATATTGATTGTTAGAAAGTATAAGGAAATCTGGAAAATTGTAAGTAAGTTAAAGTTGAGTTTTTGG